GCAGGAATAAAGAATACCAAAGGAGAAGAAAGACCAGTCATTTGGGAACATATGAAAAACCAGACCTCAACAGTATAGATCAGGACCTTGATGACTACCTTCGAGTATTTAACTCTGAAACGCCACTCCTTGTTTTTCTGGCTCGTCTGTGCCCTTCCCCCACCCCCCTTCCTTTCTAATCTTCCTGCCAAAATGAGCAAGCCAACTTATTTTGGGAATGTTACCTTCTCCTTCCCCCTAGCTGCCATGATCTGGAAGTACCTGTCCTGGTATACCTAACATACTGAAGATCAGCAATAACATGCAGATATAGGGTGCTAGTCTAGACAGAAAAGATACTTGTTTAATTTGATAAACGGTCTGTGCTTCCCAGTCACCAGAAGTTCTCTAAACTGAAGTCACTCAGATGCAAAACTAAAAAACTTTCTAACAAATGAATTAAAAAGGAAAACAAAAAAGAAAACGTGCTCAAGTTCATTTTTCAAATTTTTTTTATTACACTACATTAAAGCCTGCTTTGGACATCACGTGCTTCTCATCTTGTCCCTTGCCTGTATGTTTTGGAACTTTAAGGGAATAGACATTAATTAGCTTGTACAGACTTTATTCTTTCTAATTCAATTTCATGTTCAAAAACCGCGTGAAATATGTTTTCTAGAAGTATTCAACACAGAACTATAATTACTGCCATTCTCTGTAGAGCTTAAAGGAATTTATTTATGAATTTACATTTCAAAATAAGTCAATTTGTAACGTGCAAAAAAACTGGCAATATCAACAAAGAGCTTACCGGTTAAACATCATGCCCAGTTTCGATAGAAAGCTTAAACTGATCCTTCTCAAAAGCTAGAGCTGAGAAGGGGGCTGGCAGGAACTGGGCGACATCCACCCAAACTGCGCCGTGCTGGAACGCTCGGGTGGAAGTGCTTCCCGTGCTTTTCCCTTCGGCATCTGCCCTCCTTCCCCCAACCCACTGCTGAAGTCTCAGGCACGGTTCCTGCCTGGAGCAGTTTACTGGATGGAGTTTAACACGGAGAACGGCTTCTCCAAGCAAAACACAACATACTGGCAAGACTGGATCTACACCAGGGACTTTTACTGACACAGCTACTTTGATCAAGGATCCTCTCTCCGCATCCCTGACCAGCACAGCCGGGCCAGAAAACTGCAGCGCAAGCACAGCCTCAGAAGACCAAAGAACATGACTATGTTTTTGCAAAGCCAGCCTTGCGCATACTGAACTGCAGCTTTCACCCCATTTCATAACAACTCCCCCCTCCATCTCTGCAAAGACTGCTTTCATTCGCCACGACAAGCACGGAGGAAACGCTGGTCTCCTCACCCCACTTAAACACCCCCCACAGAATAAACACTGCGGCTTAGACCGCATAACGAAAGTATTTTGACTTGCAGGAGAGGCGTGTGGCTGCGCGGCCCCTGGGCGGCGCGGCCTCCCC